GTGTAGCTCTCTTTGTGTCGTGTCTGGCCTCCACGCGTTGGTAATGCAGTGGTACCTCTAAAAGCGGGGGGAGTTGTGTGCTGTGAGGAAGGTTTTAAAGTTCGTGGGCCGCAACTACGACGAGAGTAGAACAGTGAGCCACCACGCGCGAGTTCCTGTAAATAAAGCCTGCTCAGTTTTGAAAAATGACAATGCAGCTTTACCCGTTTAATCTTAAAGGGCCCCCAAAAAGAAAAATAAATGTGTTTTTTTTTTTAAACAGAGATACGCGTGTCAAAAAAGTTAAATTTTTTTTATATTTCTTTTAGCAGTATTGACGGCGCGAGACGGCGATTTAGTCGGCAGTCACCTCCTTTCCACTTGCTTTCTATCTCGGCATTCCGGGAGCGTGGAGGAGAGGTGAATCGGCTTCACCTTCACCTTGAGGTGGAAAAAGCGAAAGACCATCTCGTTGAGGTCGCTGGAACGAAAGACCATTCTGTGACGTCAGGAACTTTGCGCGCAGAATTACAAATAAATCTCTCGCCATGAATATGGCTCCGAAAATTACTTTTCTTGTAAATTTCATTTTTTGCCACGCGTGTCCCAACCAGACTGTTAAAAAAAACATATTTTTTTCTTTTCAGGGGCCCTTTAACAGCGCCCCCATAATCATCCGTACTGCCGAGCTCACCCTGCATCATTTGGGGGGGGGGGGGGGGGGGGGTGATAATGCCGTTGAACCCCTCTCGAAAAAAAATCCTCGCTACGCCACTGGGAAGACCTCATCAGCCACAGGAACCATCGGCGGAGGCAGCACTCAAGGTTCCGGCAAACTATCTTATACAACCACAGCTTTAAGACAACTTGTAACCTCCCCAAGCAGAACAGTCTGAACAGCACCGCCGAAGAAAGACTCAACGACCCTACCAACCGACGCGCCAAATCTGTTTTTTTTTTTTTGGTTTCCGGGACTGTTATTGACGCCGATTCATAACTGGCGCTTCGAGCGGGCGCGAGATCGGTACTCATTGGCCCGCGCGCTCCCTGTCCTGGCAGTTGAGCAGCTCCCCCTTTCAAGGCATCCGCGCTGCGCGCGGGGACACTGCATCATCTCCGGTCCCGGGGAACTGGCACATTCCAGGCGCCTGGCTGATCTGCGGGTGCGGTCTTTTTCCTACGCTTTTCCAACATCACGGGGGAGGCTCCCCACCAGTCCCCACCTCGGGCGCTTGCGCTGGAAGCGGCTTCTCGGTCCAAGCGAGGGTGGATAAAGGCCGCGGTAAAAAGTTCCAGTGGGAACGATTGGCTGGGAGGGTGATATAAACTCCTACGAGGCGATTGCATCACTAAATTCTTGACTTGTCACCAACTATTGGTCCAAGCTAGGTACAACTGTACATGCGTCAAAACACTTTTATTTGCTCTTCTAACCTCTTATGCGACACGTTCTGTAAAAGCCGGACATTCTTTATGCTAGCTGTGCCGTGATTCATTCCTGAAACACATCTTTGCCCATGGAATTAATAAAAACTTGTTTTATAATTTTTTTTTTAATTTGAGCCGTTTGGGATGTAAAATTACAATTTGTTCATGTAGAACAAATGTGATTAATGTGGTTTTCCCGCTTAGAAGTTAAATTGGAAAGAGTGAAATGAACTCTATCCAAATGAAAAAGGCCAATTGGATCGATTCCAATGGTTAATTATTTTAAACTAGGCATACTACTAGCTTTACCAGTTCAACGAGCACTTTCTCCAGTTCCGCTGGTATGACTTGTTTATATACCGTGAGACCAGTTTCATTGCCAGTTGTAAATATTTGACTGCCAGCTAGAACAGTTCGACTGCCAGGTCAAACTGTTTGGCGGACAGCTTGAACGTTATCACACCAGTGTCGCCAGTTCAAGTTACCAGTTTTGCCTGGTTAGCTACCAGTTCGAACTGTGCAATTGACATTTCAGCCAACTCAGCTGCCACCCTCGCCAGTTCATTTTCCAAGTTCGACCAATTTCAACAGTTTGATTTCCTATTTGCCCGGTACAATTCCCCTACAACCAGTTCATTTCGGGTGTGACCTGTTCATATCCAGACTGTTTTCAAATAGTTTTTTTAATGGGGAAAACGTGTTCTTTTTTATGTCTCTAGCTAAAACAGACTTCTTGAAATGAAACGTCGCTTTCTAGTGCGAGGGCTCGTGCCACAAAGCATAAAAAATATGTTAAGAGTACGCTCATACGAATAAAAAAAAAAGTAAAAAAGTTAAACGAACTATAGACTAACAGTGGCTTTCAGCGGGCATTCTGGGTCCAATGGAAAACGAACTTGAGCCAAGGAACATTGCATAGCGGCAATTCCCTGCCATTCCTGGGCTCACCCTACCTTCGATCTGGCAACATGCCCTAACACTGGCTGTTGCTTGTATTGAGTGGACCAGGGAATTTGTATGAACCGCCATGGAACCTCAAAGCTTGGCAGAGGCATTGCTACCTTGGCCATCTCTGACCGAGGAAAACCAATAGACAGCCCGGGTACACCAAATACTGGCAGCGGTCTGTTTATCCTGGCCATCAATGACCAAGGAAATTGATTGGTTAACCAGTAAAGACGTTCTCTGGTAGTTCCGTGGCTTTCTGGGGCAAGGAAAGAGTGTGAAACGCCAGGCTGGCCTACAGACGTAAGTGGCTGGCCAGTCGTGGCCAAGCTATCACAACTAAGTGCTAATCCTGGCCCCAGCTAAACCAAGCAAGCGTGCTACCTGGGTAGTCTCAAGGATTCCTCAAGACGTCTTGGTCGATGGTTTATGAAACCACAAGAGTTTATTTTACATTAGTTTACAAATTGGGCAAAAACATCTAGATACGGACAGCCTATCCCGATGCCCACTGCCCTCTACCGCCACCATTATGAACCACGCATTCATTATAGATACTACTGCCATGCTCGACACCGTCGATATGCATTTCTCTCAGCTTGAAGTTGATTCGTTAAAACCGCTCACAAAATACCTCCAAAGATCCAGCAGGCTCACCCCCCTCCTCCCCCCCGGCGCCCACGACGTCGCTTCGGCTCTTCCACCTTCACAATGGAATTCTCTATCATAAAAATTACGAGCCTCAAGGACGACCGTGGCTACTCGTTGTTCTCCACCACTTTCAGGGACAAGTCATCGAACATGACCAGAATAACCCCACCGCTGGACATCCGGGCTTCTCAAAGACCTACTTCCGGATACCTGTGAAGTTCTTCTGGAGTGGTATGCACCGAGCAATTAGCAAGTATGTCCAGTCGTGCCACCAGTGCCAGGCCAAGAAAAAACCAGCGATCAAGCCTGCTGGACACCTCCGCCCAATTTCCCCGCCGAGCCGTCCTTTTGAGCGAATCGGTGTCGATTTCTTGGGCCCCTTTCCTCGCTCAAAAGAACACAATTGATGGTTAATTATTGCCATTGACCATTTTACTCGCTACGCCAATACTAAAGCCGTTCCCGCAGCCACAGCTCTGCAAGTAGCTGTTTTTTTTCTCCATTATATTTTTCTCCGGCATGGTGCCCCCCAAGCAATTATAAGGACCGCGGCACACCCTTTATCGCTAAGGTCCTCAATGAACTCTATGGCCTCGCGAGGACCGTCCATCACAATACTAGTGCTTACCACCCTCAAACGAACGGCCTTGCTGAGCGCCTGAATCACACTTTCGCTAATATGATTTCTATCTATGTAGCAGATGACCACAACAAATGGGACACCATCCTACATTATGTCACATACGCATACAACACCCGTTGCTAAGCAACAACCAATTTTTTACCATATTATCTTCAATATGCCCGCGAACCGCTTTCGCCGATGCATACTTTTCTCCCCTTTATTGACAACGCTTCTCTTGATAGCTAAGCCGAAGACATATTATGCTGTAGGCTCGCCAACTTTCACCGCTTCACACCTTTAAATCCCAACCGATCAAAGTTCTCCGTAACTCCATTACCCACATACTATAATGTGGGAGACGAAGTACTACTGTGGACACTGTCGCAATCTCCACACAAATGTGACAAGTTCCTCAAGACGTTCAAGAGGCCTTTCCGGATACTTCGACGTGTCGCCTCGACCAACTACGAATTTGCCCCTGTTTCGCCCCCTCCTTACCACCAATGACACGACACTGACATCGACCACGTCGCACGCCTCCAGTGTTACTACCGCATCGACCCCTCACGCCGGCGATCGGCGGTTGCACCGCGGGGGAGTACCCTGTTACGAAGGTAGACGAAGAAGAAGCTAAATCGGATTTCTGATTCAATAGCTGAAGGTAGATGAAGAAGAAGCAAGATCAGGTTTCAGTTTTCAGTATCCATCTTCTGAAAGGCAGTGTCAGTTTTCAACCGCCATCTTCTGAAAGGCAGTTATCACCTCATCACATTAAACCCATTCACACCAATCCTCTCAATATGTATATCTGGGTGATAGAGTGCATTTGGCAACACACGTTGAAGAGAAATTGGAATGGACACTCCAGAAATGTTCACATCTTGATTTCACGTACGTGAATCTATTGAAACTAAATCAAGTGTGCAGACGAGTTGGTTCAATACTGGCATGGTAAACCAGGAGCGGGAAAATAACGCTTTTCGCTCTCTCCTGAGCTACCATGTCAGTACTGAATCTACAAGTTCACTAAAAAAATATTAATGGGAGCTACGTCACAGCTAGCCACCACTTCACCAATCACCAGCAGTCTCCCTTTCCACTCTAGCAGAAAGAAGAGATTCAATGAACGTCTTTTAAATCAAACGAAAAACTTTATTAAACAAAAAGTTCAAATTATTAGTTATATAACTCATAATTATTCGTAATATCCAAGCTCCTAAACAAAAACGAGGTTGGGCGTGATGTAACAAAGTTTCGCCGTGGTTCAATTTTGATTAATCATCCAAAGCAATAATTCACAATATTTGGATAATTTCTATTATGTCAACAATGGGGCCGTCTTAGAACCTATCACCGCTTTGCTCTGCATATATCACATGACACTATGCTTCTTCCATTCCCTGATCAAATCAGTGTTGGATAATTTTCTATAAATTTTATCCTCGATTCTCGCATTCATCTTGTCAACAAAATGTTTCCTCCAGTCACCTATTTGGCCCTTCCGAATGAAGCGCGTGTACGGCCGAGTGGCCTGAGTTGGGTACAGGTTTTCGAAAACATTCGCCGCGTCCTCCTTCATGTAGTCTATACCGCTGTAGACGAGCACGCGTTCGAGCATATTCTGGTCTTGCAGGAGTAATCTGTAGTGCTCTTCTCCCAGGAACTTTGCAATCTTCAGGACAACGTCCTTGAGGTTTGACTTGGCATCTTCGTAGTGCACCAACAGGACATTGGGCTCGTGGCGGCGTTCGTACCAGGAGAGCACGTGGTCGAAATAGTCACCAAAATCGGTGCTTCCGCTCAGAAACACCTCGAAGAAATCTTCGAACTTCCCGTCCTCAAACTCGTAGCTAGGAAAACGACGCGTTTGGTAAAACAGAGAGACGCATGTGTCTTTTGGGTTCCTGCAGATGTAGATGTATTTAGCTGATGAATTTTGCGGCATGAGGTTGTAGGGAAAATGCGACTTTATAAATCCTCCTCGCATCCTTCCTTTGGCAGCGTTAGCTCCGGATAGTTCCAAGAAGGGGCCGTTGCTGTGAAAATCTTCCGGACTGGATGGTGGACTTCCCTCGTGGAAGAGTAGGTAACCGATTTGCTGCAGCCACGTTGTACCGGCCTTGGGAAAAGAAACCACAAATACATCGTTGTCTTCCGGCTGATACTTCAGCGCTGACTGGAACAGTTCCAAAGAAAAGGATGAAGTAAGTCGAAATCCTTCCATGTCCATGTACGTGGGGCCGTTAGGAATTTTCACTTTGAGTGCCATTTTGAGTTTTAATTTCTAGAGAATAAAACCCAGCTGCTTGTTTCCAATTTCGCATCAATTGCTTGAAGTAGGGGCTTGTAGCAGCCTCTAGAAAGAAACACAAATTAATAAGTTCTAGTTAGACCTGCTCAAATAATTGTGCTTTTTTTACTATAGCTTTACTCTAGCAACGACGCTTGCGGTGAGGCGGACATCATAAAATAGAGTTCACTGCCAACGGTCAATGTCTGTAGTGAGGACAGAGCACACCTTTACGTGGGCCTCAAATGCAACAACAGAATGCACAACAAACAGCTGACTGTTGCATCTGATTTTCTCGCAGTTAGCTCAATTAGACCCCACGATGATTGTATCATTATGTGCTCTTTATTAACATCAAGAGTGCCGTGATTTTTTTTTGCTTAAAAAAAAGCCTTAAAGCTATTAAAGATAGGCCTACGTCACTTACACATATTTAAACTAATACGTTGCTTATATTTTTTGCGGCACGAATTGCCAATCTACCAACTTGCAGCGAAGATAAAGCTAATTTCTGAAGAAAACCAAAAATACCAGCAATAAACGTTGCTCTTTTCACTTCTTATTTGTCTTTCCACTGCTCTAAGGAGCGTAATATCCGTTTCGTGCATTATAATAATACTGCAAACGGCTTAATTTTCGCAAGGACCTGATTTCCGCGAATTTGGCGAATTGCCTACGATTTCCGAAAGGTCCCACTAACAATTCCGGTAAAATGTGAGCAGATTAGAATCTATATTGAGATCACGCCGCGTCGCGAAAATTAGAACGCGCGAATAATTTCAAATCTTCAGCTTTTACCTAAATTGCGAAATATTGAGCCCGCGAGAAGTAAGTTGTGAACAGTTATCGAACCAGCTGTTACATTTTCTCGTGCGTTTTTTTTTTTTTTTTTTTTTACGTTTGTATTGGTTGAACACATTGTCTAATATGGTTAAGCTGTACTTCGCTCCACCTTAACTTTAGACTCAGTCGACGCTTCGAATTGATGGGACCAATCAGACAGTGTCAAAAGCGTACTATCATGTTTAGAGGCCGGATGTTTAGGCACATAAAAAGCTATATTTTTGGGCGCCTATAAAAGTCACTAAAAACTTCGTAATAGGCATTTATAGGCACAATCAGTTCTTATTCACAGGGTGCTTTTCAAAGCATTTGGGGCCTCTGCCATTCAAAGAAATAAAGAATAATGTAGTACAATAGGAATTACCATTTATTTTTGTCCAACATTCGTAAAAAAAGAGTTCACTCAAGCCCATACCGGTACTAAGCTGTCCAATGCTGTACACAGTTCAACTAGAAACTGTAGGGAAAATTATGAAAACAATAGCAAACAAGCACCATCTCAAGGTTCTTGGGTTCCAACTTCTGCTTCTTGTCGCTTCGAACCAGTTTGTGCTCTGAAAAAGAACGTTCCACGTCAACTCATGTAAGTGGGGCGTACTTGTACTTAGGAACATTCAATGCTTCCAACCCCTCTGGTACCCTGGAGTGCTCCCCGGTGAGAACCTTTGAGACTTCTTAGAGTACAGAAAACCCACTATTCTTGCTCAAGACGGACTGAAGCTTTGAACGAACTTCTACAGCAGCGGAGCCTGCGGGGACGGCGTCGACTCGTTCTTGAACGTCTGAAATGAGCCCGATGTTCCGAGACAAAGTTTCGCCAGCACTTTCGAGGCTTTTGATTGTGTCCGACAGAAAAGTGAAATTGGAGCAGAGATACGCCAGGTCACCTTCAAGAGTGTCCTCGCGCAGGACATCTTGAGAGTTTCTGACTGAGACGCTATTGTCTGCTGGAAACCCGCTAATGACCATCTTCACACCAGCAATTTAGTACTGTAGTACTCTACAGCTTGAAACCACGTTCCCTATCGCGTCACGATGTGTTCTGGTGGCAGAAGCAACCTTGGTAGCTGTTCCATAAATGCAGAAACACCAGACAGTGACTTAAGGAACGCAGCCTTCACAGCAGCAACGAGATCGTTTACATGCTTGAAGTGTGTTCTTAGCTCTTCGTAAATGTGGTGAATGCCGTGGGCGAGGTAGATGATGTGCAACATCCGCGGGCAGAAAGCCTTCAGGAGGAGGGCAGCTGTCTGCATATAAACCGCCGCGTCCGCGTAAATTAGAAACAGCCTGCTGTCTTCCAACACATTAGGGTATAGAAACTTCAATGACGCGTTGACAAAATACGGCACGGTCTCCCCATTTGCTCTCTCTAGCGTCCTGGAGCAAACAAGAAAAGGCGTTGTTCTCTTGTCTGCCACACGCTTCCCAACTACGAGGTGTGAGACAAAGCATCCAGTCGCATCTGTCGTTTCGTCTACGCAGACCCAAAATTCACGAGTCTCCAAGTTCATTTATGATTTTCTTCAGTGTTTTCTCGTACATAAACCGCAGGTAGTTTTTGCGCAGAGTCCACTCCGACGGTACGGTATGAGTGAAGTATTTTTGTAAGAATAGTTTGGAAACTGGGCTTTCTACTTTCACCCAGTGAATATTAGCGGCGACCAAGGCTTCGCACAAGTCTGTGTAGAATGCGTTCATTCCATCCGTGAGGTTTTCTCTCAACAATGGCTGCCCAGACGTTCAGGGCACTTTGCGCTCTGCGTTGGCTTGAAAATCTGCTGCTTTTGCGTGCTGTGCCAGGTGAAACTTCTTCTCGCATGGAATCTGTGAAAAAAACAGATTTCGATATGTTGAAAAGCGTAGTGAGCCGTTCAAAGCGGGGAGGGTCTTAAGCAATATCATCCTAATGCATAAATATACCGACACCGAAAATATCCGAGTGTTAAAATGGTGAAAAAGCCTACTCAATGTGCAAGCTTGTCCAGGTTTTAGTTTAGCATCAGAACACACAGCTGCCATACGCTCCACTGCCAAATCGCACCTTTGCGAGACTATCTGGCGCTTTGGTAACAGGACGCAGGGCTGTTGGGTGAGCTACGACCCCTGCCCAAATGGGGTGTGTGCTGTTTATGGGGGGCATCTTAAAGGGATGGTGTGATGTTCCTGACATACACACTTGTAAATAAAGAAGAAGTGTTGGGGGAGCTCGAGGGATCGAGGCAGGATCTCGGGGCACAACGCTTATGGACTGGCTAGGGTTCTGGTCTCAATCATCCACGTCCTAACATAACAAACTGGCGACGAGGTACTCCGTCTAGGACTGACTTCAAGGAAGCCGCTCAGCGCTACGACAAGGGCCATGTCAACGCCTGGAAGCATCGAATCCTTCGATGAAGCGGAAGGGGACTGGCCAACGTATGCCGAACCAATTGGCCAATTCTTCATCGCCAACGACGTGAAGGAACCGAGACGAGTGGCGGCATTCCTGAGCATCATCGGCGGAAGGACCTACGCGCTACTCAAGAGCCTCGTAGCGCCGGAAGCCCCATCAAGTAAAACCTATTTGGAACTTGTCGAGATACTCCGGACGCATCTGTCACCGAAGCCAATTGTGATTGCTGAACGCTTCCGCTTTCACAAGAGGGACCAGAAGGACAGCAAAACCATTTTTGAGTATGTCGCAGCACTGAACAAGTTGGCTCAAACCTGCGAATTTGGAACAGCACTGAGTGAAACTTTGCGAGACCACTTTGTATGTGCCTTATGTAATGACAGCATACAAAAAAGGCTGCTTTCAGAAGAGGATTTGACTTTCAAGAGAGCGCTTGAAATGGCGGTAGCAATGCAAGCCGCATCCTCCAGTGCGAAAGTTCTACACGGCTCATGGTCGTCCAGCGCGGAAGTTCTTAACGTGGGAAGCAAACCTTTAGAAAAAGAAGGTTGTTCACACTGTGGTTGCAAGAATCACGAGTCGGTCAATTGCCGCTGGAAGGGTCTGGAATGCAGAAGATGCGGAAAAGTAGGGCACCTGCAAAGAGTTTGTAAAGGCTCAGCTCCAAAGTGGCAAGGGCAAGCGTCTAAACCCTTCAGTAAGCGGAACGAAAAAAAAAGATGAAGGCTGTAACTGTGGAAGATTCTAACGAAGAGATAGAAATGAACGAGCTAAGAAGCGCGCGAAATGATCCGTTAGAAATAACGCTATCGGTCAGTGGAATTCCTTTGAGAGTGGAAATAGACACAGGAGCAGCAGTATCTGTTTTGCCACTACAAGAGTACCAGGCTAAGTTTTCGCACCTCAAAAAGCAACGAAGTAATGTCGTCTTGAAGACATTTAACGGAGCGAAGATTAAGCCGCTGTGGGAAGTACAAGTGACGGTGATGCATGAAGACTAGGAGTCCAAGCTGAAGATGCAAGTGGTCGATTTTAAGAGACCACCTCTTCTTGGACGTGACTGGCTAAGAGTCATGAAGTTGGACTGGGCAAACATCAAAGCGATACACTGTTCCGAAGAGATAGGAAGACAAGAGATTGAAGGTCTGATTAATGAATATAAGGAAATATTCTCAGATGAGCTGGGATGCGTAAAAGGAGTTGAAGCAAAACTCAAACTGAAACACGGAATGTCTCCACCATTTCAAAAGGCGACGCCAGTACCACACGCATTAAGGGATGCTGTGGCCAAGGAACTGCTGGCTCTACAAGAAAGAGTCATCTTGACTTCGGTAGAAACAAGTGAGTTTGCTGCTCCAATTGTCCCAGTTGTCAAGAAGAACGGCGAGATCCGGATCTGTGGGAATTACGAATCCACCGTAAATCCCGTGATCGATGTCGACAGTTACCCTTTGCTCAGAATCGAAGAGCTGTTTGCAACACTGGCGGGAGGGCAGCTATTCACTAAACTTGACCTAGCCAAAGCGTACTTACAAGTTCAAATGCAAGAAGATTCAAAGAGGTACTTAACCTTGAACACGCATTGGGGGCTTTTTCAAGTCAATAGGCTTCCTTTTGGCGTAGCCTCAGCTCCAGCAATATTTTAATGAACGATGGATCAGGTACTACAAGGCCTGACGCACACCACCTGTTACATTGACGATATCCTGGTAACTGGAAGAACAAAAGCGGGGCACCTGAA